TATTCTATTCTATTCTATTCTATTCTATTCTATTCTATTCTATTCTACGCTACCCTACTCTATGACTATTATTAAGTGTTGTACCTTCTTGATGAACATATCTTTTCTTTTAGACAAATTCCTTGTGTGTCCAATCACACTTGGCCAATAAAGAATTCTATTCTATTCTTATCTCCAGGCAAAAATCTAGCCTTCGTAATTCCTGGGTAAGAGACTATCATGCACCAATTTGAGAGTTGAGAAGGTGTCCTTGAAGAGACCAACCAAGAGAACATCTTACCTGGAGTGGCAAGGGATCCTGGCTGTTAGCCACACAGTTCTCAAAAACCACTCCTGCCAGTATGTTGCCTGAATGGTTATCGAAACGGATGTAGCGTTCAAACTCTTTTTCGGATGGAAACCATCGAGCTACAGAGTAAAACATAAGTCATATCATGAAAAGAAGGCCCCAAGGGGAATATTATAATCAACCCAACCCAGCATAGAGCAAACAAATGACAGCACCTCCCTGTTTTTAATCCTTTTTATTATAATAGCCATATATATTTGTACACCGCCCTGAATCACTCGGTAAGGGAGATGGGTGGTTTTTTAAAATACCATATATCAATGAAATAAAATAAATAAATAACTCATGTAACTCAATAATTGCACTGGGAATGCAGATTGTCCTTAATGAAAATAGGCTGGGAGTATTTCCCAAGTAAACAGGACTGAAACATTTTTTATTATGTCCAGAACAAGGAGGTTGTCATGCCCCTGTCAGTCTGAATCCGAGGAGGAAGAAGATGAACAGCTGACAGGGAGTGGGAGTGTGGCTCTGTTGGCTGTGGAGGAAACTGGGGAAGGACAAAGTCTGGCTGGGCAGAGCAGGGGAGAGATAGAACAAGGGAGAGGGAGTTCAGAGGAAGAACCAGGCCCACTCCGTCTTCATCTTAGGGCATGCAGGGAGGAACGGAGAAGGGAGCAACGTTGGTTGCGTGGCCTACGGGGGAGGAAAGGGCCCTGATTCCCTTCATTAGCCACAGCTGGGAAGAGAGTTTAAGAGATGCAGGATGAGTGCAGCAGCTGCTGGGAACAAACGTGAGTTTATCTTGTATTGACTTTGGTTATCTGTATTCCTGGAGTCCTCCCAACCATGTTGAGTTATTGCCATGCCTTCACATCTGGAATTCTTGCTCCTGTCCTGCCGGACTAATTACCTCCTCTTGCCTTGATTGGACTTATAGTTACAGTTTTTGTTGACCACGTTTTGGACTTGATTCCCTGCAGCCAAAGGCTGTTCCTGGGAGAGTTTTTCTCCAGCCAGAAGTTAACCAGGATATTGGGGATAAAGTTGGAGCTAATAAAGGGACTCCTACTGATTATCTGACTGTGTTGCCTTTGTGCCACGCCCCTTTGGGTCATCACAGAGGTATTTGGAAATGGCTCAACAGATGACATCCTAATTCATTGGATTATCCAGATAGTCCTCAATGTATGATTAAAAATGGAGGCCAACATTTCTGCTGCTGAGCGCGACAGTTGCTAAGTGAGTTTGGCCCCAGTTTTCTTGCCACAGTCATTAAGTGAATCACTGCAATTGTTAATTAACCCGGTTGTTAAGTGAATCTGGCTTCCCCAGGGACTTTGCTTTGTCAGAAGGTCGCAAAAGGAGATCACGTGACCCCAGGGACATTGTGTCCATCATAAATATGAAACCCATTCTGAATTTTGATCACATGACCATGGGGATACTGCAATGGTCATAAGTATGAGACAACGGTCCTAAGTCACATTTCTAAGAGTGCCGTTGGAACTTGGAGCAGTCACGAAATGAACTGTGGTGAGTCAAGGAGTGCTTGGGAGGAAAAGATCCCTAACAAGATTTTGCAAGACTCTTTTGTTTTCATAACCAACCTCTCAATAAAGAAAAATTTAGCCTTCCTGCAGGGTTCATTTCCTGGTTTGGTGTACCTGATGAAAACTGACAAGATTTCATCACTTCACAACCCAGGAAGTTTGTTGCAAAGGTAAACTTCCTCTGTGTCACAACCATCATGCTTGCGATAAAATAAGACATAATATAGCTCCTTCCACTGCCACTGACTTGCCCGGGCAGGTTCGTTCTTCGATTACAATCTACCTTCCGCGGTAAGCAAGATGTTAAAAGTGTACTCAAAAGAATAACTTCTTGCTCGCACAGCAAATACTCTTTCAGTTTCCAAACAGCCCTCAACTCTCTCACACACTGACAGGACGCTGGCCAGATGAATACCGAGGGATGCTGGTCGGCAGAGGCACAATTTCCCCCACCTCTTATTTTCCTCCCCCAAAACTAAGCCCGACCACATGGTTTCGTAGCAAAGCCTGGGTATCGAGCTAGTTCATAGATATGCGGAAATGGCCTTGTATCTTTGCATCCATAAGCTTTCTCCAAAACATTCCTCTGGAATTAGGATCAAAAACAGATTTAGCGCCACACGGACTGACAAGGAGGCGTTGCAGGCATCTCCCATAACATCTCTGGATCTATGGTACATGTCCTCCTCAGGAGCCTACTTGCTCCTCAACCAGAAACCAATCTTACTCCACCTAACCTTGATATTTTCAACCATGTCCTCACCCAGGGATGACTTATTTTCCTCACGAGCCTCACCCACTGCTTATTTGCAGAACCAGCCCTGTGAACTGAGGGAGGTTTAATGAGAGATGTCCACATTAATAAAGGAAACAAAGGAGGTTCAAATTGCAACTGTCTGTCACCCAGTCACTTCAAGCAGCTTAGCTGGAATAATACGATCAACCTCCAGCTCAGCTATCAGATTCTTGGTGGCCAAAATGGCCGAGCACTTCGCTTAAGAGGGCTTCCAGAGAAGTCCCACAAATCTCATGAATTCATCTGGAATACAGGTAATCCTCAACTTAAGGCCACAATTGAGCCCCCAAAATTTCTATTGTTAAGGGTTGGGTGAGTTTTTTTTCCTCCCTATTTGGCAACCGTTCTTGCCACCGTTTTTAAGAGAATCGTCCCAGTTGCTAAGAGACTGGACTGCCATCTGTCAGAAATGGTGTAGGGTCTTCCTCTTTGGGCGGGGAGGTTGGACTAGATCAGGAGTCGCTAACCTTTTGGACCTGAGGGACGACCAAGCTCATAATTTTATGAGAGAGAGAGAGAGGGAGGGAGGGAGGGAGGGAGGGAGAGAGAGAGAGACTTTTGGCTTCCTGCAAGGAAAGCAGCAGAAGCAGCAGAAGTCTTTCTTTCTCTCCCCCAAACTCTGCCAGAAATGAGTCTTTGCTGGCGCAGCCTCTGGGAGCAGGAGGCCTTGCAGGGTCCCAAAGACTCATTTCTGTCTGAGTTTGGGGAGAGAAAGAAAGACTTTATCCGCTTTCCTTGCGTGCAGCCAAAAGCAGAAGAAGAAAGAAGCGGAAAGAAGCATCCCGGTGGCCAGGCCAGGCGCATGGGGCGAATGGGGCAAGTTCCCCCCCTTCACCCTTTCCCCCCTCCCCTCACTACTTCATGTTGTTCGCAAGGCAAGCGATGCAAGCCTTGTATTCCCGCGGGCCTTGTGGGCGGCACAGCTTGTGTTCCTGTGCAGCCTGGATTAATTGCTTTGGGGGTGACATTTCTCTGCGGATCACCAAAATTTTCTCACAGACCACCAGTGGTCCCTGGCCCACTGGTTGGTGACCACTGGACTAGAGGATCTGCAAGGTCACTTCCAACTCTGTTAATCTGTTTTAAAAAAAAGTTAGCCATATTGTTGTTAAGGGCCTCTTGCTTCCCCCATTGGCTTTGCTTGTTAGAAGTTTGCAAAAGTAGTATGCAACTGTCATAAATGTGAATCAGTTTTTCCAGCACTGTTGTAACTTCGAACAGCCACTAAATGAACTTCTATAAGCCGAGGACTACCTGAATTGTAAAGTTGCCAAGAGTGAGGTGTCCACATTGAAGCAGGAATAAGTTAAACTGGACTTGGGAAAAGGTGACTCAGGTGCCCAGAGGTGGTATGCCATAAAAATCCTAAGAGATCAATGTTTTCCCAGTGAGAGTTGGTTGCACAAGACCATGTGGGCTTAGGAAGATTTCACTTGATGAGCTATGCCATAATTCGAAAGATTGGATTATACCATGGCAAACCCAGCTAATTATAACTTCTTCGCGAATCCATATTTAAGATAAAGTATTATAGCAATAAGAACAGCCAACCCAATTAGAGAAGGATGGAAGTAGACTTGGTTGAACCCAACCATGAGTCAACCATGACCAAACGGTCTTCTGGAAGACCAGAAAGCCAGGCAAGGAAAGCAACAGTACGTTTGTTTCTGTACACCGATAGACTGCCTATGAATGTGGAAGCTCGCTGGTAAAGACAGGCTATAATAACAGGCCTTTTGGCTATCCCTGTGTCTTGCAATGAATATTTCATCTTTTCTCCAATTTCACTTGCTTTTCTTGGGGGGCGGGGAGGTGGAAATCAAGATGCAGAATTTGATCTACAAAGCATAAGGTAGACTTCTCCTGCCTTGATGGCTTCTATGACTTAGAATAGAATAAAAGAAAGGGAAAAGGAAAGGAAAAGGGAAGGGAAGGGTAAGGAAGGGAAGAGAAGGAAGGGAAGGAAAGTAGAGTGGATGAAGGGAAGGGAAGGGAAGGAAAGAGGAAAGGAAAGGAAAGGAAAGGAAAGAGGAAAGGAAAGGAAAGGAAAAGGAAAGAAGGAAAGGAAAGTAGAGTGGATGAAGGGAACAAAAGGAAAGGAAAGGAAAGAAGGAAAGGAAAGTAGAGTGGATAAAGTAAAGGAAAGAGGAAAGGAAAAGGAAAGGAAAGTAGAGTGGATGAAGGGAAGGAAAGGAAAGAGGAGAGAAAAGAAGGAAAGGAAAGTAGAGTGGATGAAGGGAAGGGAAGGAAAGAGGAAAGGAAAAGGAAAGGAAAGGAGGAACGGAAAGTAGTGGATGAATTAAAGGGAAGGAAAGGGAAGGCAAAGGAAAGGAAAGAAGGAAAGGAGAGTAGAGTGGATGAAGGGAAGGGAAGGGAAGGAAAGGAGAAGGAAAGGGAAGGAAGGGAAGATCAGAATGGTTTTCCTGGCTGACCCCAAATTCTAATATTCTGAGAAACAGATGGTGCTTTCCCCTCCATTTTCTTCCCCTTGTTTTCAAGTGCATGCATCTCCTAGTGTTGCAACGCTCTGTGCTGACTCCTTGCAGTATTTTTAGCATTGCAAAACTCAATCCGTCAGCTCAAAGCGAAGCCCTTCCGTCGCACAGAGACTCCCCTCCGTACCCGGGAGGACACCTTGGAACAAACTACCCTGGCGGGGTGCAGACCTTCGATTTTCAAGTCCTTCTCCACCCTCTCGGCGATGTTTTGCACGGCCGTGTTGTTGGAAGGGACGTACGCCAGTTCCCAGGGGACGCCCAAATGCCGGCGATGGAAGATCCTGGGCAGCTCGTTCACCTCCTTGCTGTGGTATAAAGTGGCATTGGGGTGATTGACCGAATGGACCCGATGGCGCAGGCCAATAAGGATGGCAGCAAACAACAAGGGGAGGCAAATCTCAATCAACGTCACCAAAACCTTCCGTTTCTGCAGAAGGAAACAGAGACGATGCAAGTTAGGCTCGGCGAAAGCAACTAGGTGGAGTTACAACTGGGTGTTCGCGGTTCAAGAAGACTAAAATGGCCATTAATTCGTTGAGAATGCTCTGGGGTGTGTGTGTGGGTGGGGAAACGGAACAGTGCACAGGTAGTCCTTGAGTTATGACCATAAGGACTGGAAGTCCTTGCGATGTAAGTCATTGCGGTCATAACTTGAGGCACCACGTGACTGGATCCGATTTTACAACCGTTAAAGTGAATCATATTGTCATTAAGTATATATCGGGTGGGGTGGGGTTTTTTTCTTATTTTTTTTTTCTTATTTTTTTTCTGCAAAAGGAAGTTGGAAATCAGGAAAAAAAATTGCAAATTGCGATCATGTGATTGCAGCAACCATTAATTAATTAATTAAATTAAATTAAATTAAATTTATATTGCTGCCTATTCGCCCATGGTGACTCGAGGAGGCTTACACAATGTAAAACCATATTTAAAACAAAAAAATAAAAATAAAAACAATAACTAACAAAAAGAATCAAATAAATTAGTAAAATACAATAGAACGAAATTTGGGAAAAACAAAAACACAACAAAAAAAAAACAGAAAATCAAAAACCAACTCCCACCCCCCTTCCTGACGACAGCAGATCATACTAGCCACCTGATGGACTCCATCCCGCTCTGGGTTCCCCAGGCCTGCTGGCAGAACCAGGTCTACAGTGCCTTTTGGAAGAGAGCTAGAGCGGGGGCCATTTTAATCTCTGAGGAGATGATGTTCCAGAGAGACGGAGCCACCACAGAGAAGGCCCTTCTTCTGGGTCCCACCAGGTGTATCTCCCTCAGGGATGGGACCCGCAACATTCCCTGCCTCCTCACTCTAATGGGTCGGGTAGATGTCACTGGCAAGAGATGTTTCCTCAGATAACCTGGACCCAAGCCATGAAGGGCGAAGTAAATGTGGGCTGGCTGCCAAGTAACCAAATTTCAATTGCATGACCGGGTGTGTGCGTGCGCACGCAACGTTTTGCAATGGTTGGCAGTGTGTTTACAAGCCATAAAGCACCTTTTCTGAGCCTGTTATAAGTTTGGACCAAACGGTTGTATACAAATGGTGGTATATCGAGGCCTACCTGTACAGAATCAATCAAAACTTCCATCCTTTTACAGGTAGTCTTTGAATTACAACCACAACTGAGCCTAATTTTTACCTTGCTAAACATTTGTTAAGTGAGTTTGCCCCATTGTATTGCCACAGTGCTGTTATAACTTTGAAGTGTTGTAAGTCGAGGACTAGCTGTATTCAGGAGGTTATATCAACAGGCTTGGCGGAAATTCCAAGATTTGCTGATGTACAAACCAACCCTTTTCAAGATAATGTCATTCTATGAAGCCAAAAATCTCCCCACTCAAAAAATGTTCCACTGGGCTGAGAAGCTATGATGGAGCATGAAACGTTGGAATGGAGCTTTGAATGTGGCGGTGGACACGGTTGACTGGCAGATGTTTAACTATGGATTGTTGAAGGTTCAGTTTACTGTTGCTAAAGTCTGTTAGATGTCAAGCTAACAACGCCTCTTCCTCCACACTTTTGAGTGGCAATGAATATTGATCAACTGCTGTAGCCTTTACATCCTGCTTGGTTTAATTTTTAATATACTTTTACTGAGCATTTTAAGAACAAAAAAAAGAGGACAAAAAAGCAATATGAACAAGCTGGAATTTACAAGTCTGAAATTTTTTAACCTTTTGAGATAACGGACTCAGCATATTCACTTCCTTTCAAAAACTACAAATCAGTCTAGACAGAGTCAAAATACCAAGAACAGCAGTAAGCATAATAAGAATGATAAATAAGGTTATAAATTACAATACATTCTGCCCATGCTACTAAAGGCCTGTTCTATTTAAGAGAACCTGTAAAATTGAAATATTAGGACTCTTCTGTAAAGACAAATCTGAATTTTGGATATGACAGAGGTCTCCAAACTTGGCAACTTTAAAACTTGTGGACTTCAACGCCCAGTATTCCTCAGCCAGTCTTAAAGTTGCCAAGTTTGAGGACCCCTGGTCTATGACGACAGAAAAGAAATCAAGAGTCTGACATGCGAATTATAAATTTTATTAAGCTTTCCTGAGCAGCATTTCCCACCATTTGATATGTAGGGATGCTTTAGATTTAGAACAAACTGGCAACATGAAGACTTGTGGACTTCAACTCCCAGAATTCCTCAGTCAACCATGCTACCACACTGGCTGGGGGATTCTGGGAGTTCAAGTCCACAAAGTCTTAAAGTTGCCCCTTTACAATATAAACTGAGGAAAGGGTGGGGAAGATAGGTTGGGTACGCAAATGCAAACACAATAGGGTTTTAGCATATTACAATGGTTGATTGATACAAAGCTTGTAATCAGTTGTAAGATTTCTATCTTGAGTTAAGTAAGGGATTTGCGCAAGAAAGGCAGAAGCTAGCTTTCGCAAAGGTTTTGGGAAGAATCAAGAAAAAAAAACACATTTCGTTAATAATAAAGCCGACAATAATTTTCACCATTCGTCACATTAAACTCTGCAATGTAATGATAGCCCTTGGAGACTTCTGAGAGACAAACCAAGATTCCTAGGGTCACAAGAGCCCTCAGATTATGCTCAGCCATAATATGGGTTTGTTGGGCTTAGCAGGGTGAACAAAACCAACACTATGGCTTGGAACTATGGCTTGCGGCTAGAACATTGGGCAAATCCAATCGTTTATTCAACAATCCATAGTTAAAACATCTCGTGTGGCATGAAAGCCAGGATCAAAAATGAAGGCACGTCAAAAATAAGCAGACTTCTTGATTCTGATGCCTTCTTCAGATGTGTTGGACTTCAACGCCCATAATCCTCAAGCTGAGGGTGAACAGAAGTCCAGCCTGTCTGGAGGAGATTCGAGAAGGTTGGCTTACAACAAGCTTTAACTTCCACCCTTTCATTTTTATGGATATCTTTTCTGTTCATTTTTCCACGGCCCCGGACCAACTCACCTGCAAGATGTAATTCTTCCAGAGAAGAAGCCCAAACTGCCGTAACACAGCCATCTTTTCACTTGGAATGGGAGGACCAACTTTCTCAAATTCTGTGGAAAAGCAGAATTGATAAAATTACAAACCCAGTCCACCATCAAAGGGCCATTTAATGGTGGGATGATTTCAAACTTTTTAAATATTAGGAAATACAATTTTAAGTTGTGGATTTGACACACACGAAAAAATGCTCTTGGTGCATTGCAGAAATCAATTTTCTCTTTCTATTCAATTGTTTTGGCCAAAGCACATAATGCATTCATTTTCCACATAAGATACGTTTGTTCTAGTAGAGAACATTGTATAGTACTTTCAGTTAGATTATCTGTTCTCGCACTGACTCTGTCTGAACACAGAGTCTTATTTTGCCTCTACTCCAATCAGAGATCTCTTTTGTTTCCCTTTTTTTCTTACTCAGAAGGCCAAACTGTCACCCATGAATTATACAGTTAGCCTTCAAAAACTAATCATCTGAAGCATCTAAGTTCTTAACTGTAGCCAATTCCTGCTGAGTTTAGCTTTGCAATTTTAACCACCAGATTTCTCAAGCAACCATAAACTACACACAAGCCGGCCTCACCGCCATAACCAACTGGCAAAAATGAAGCAAGCAACACCACACAATTCCGGTAGGAGGAACTTGATATTGCTAGTCTGAGAAACATCTGAGTATGTGCACATGAGAATATACATTGTCTCTACCCAACAGTTATGATCTTGCAAACTTACAAGGCTGGACACTCTGGTGATAAATTTACAATTCTTTTACTCCTCTTCTTGCTTTCTTTAACACCACCTTTGTTCCAAAATCTTGGTTTTGGCCTGGAAACCCATTGTTTTTTCTAAACTTTGATTTCTTTCAACCTGGCTGATCTCTTGCAACTCTGCTTCTGGCTGACATCCCAAACTTGTATTTCAACGACCTTCAAGAACCAGGATGGAAAAATTCGGATGTGCTCAGCAGCCTACAATTTATTGTGATTTGTAAATACTACCAAGAGTTCAAGACAGGCTTCATAGCTGAAACAGCTTCAAATACCAAACTCAGAAGAGCAAAGAAAGTTCAGTCATAAGGTGTTTGAAGAAAAAAACACATAAATGATAAGAAGAAAGAGAGGAAAGATTATGGAACAAAGCGCTTCTGAGTGAGTACTTTTCCATAAACAGCACTGAGGTTAAAATGTCCCCTGGACATCTAATCCTAAAAAGAACCCGATCTTCACAAGATTAAAACTGAATCCAGGTGTGGCAAATTTAACTATTCCCACTACTCTGTCTTTGATCAACATCTCATGAACTTTGGTTACATGAAACATCAGATATGAACATACATTTAGCATTTCTCCAAGCTTTCCTGATTATTTTTAAAAAGCTGTTTGAGCTAAGCTGGGTGTATTTGGCAGGTGAAACATTATGCAAGGCACCACTTACCTCCTGGCCAGACTCAAACAAAATGTTAAAGTATGTGCAATATAATAGACAAAGTAATACCCAACAGTTGGCTCTCTCTTGGAGCACCTTGTTAATGATTACTGGTCTTAATGACTGGGTTCCAGCTGCTGGCCCAGGGACAGTCTACCTCAACATACTAGGTGTAGTGCGGTGGTAAAAGTAAGGTAAGGAAGTCTAGGTCTCCTTTTCTGTGGTCTTCTTAGATACATCTGCTGGGCCACCATGTGAGATGGAAAGCTCTCTAGATGGACAGAGTCCAATGTGATGATTCTGAGATTCTTGAGCAGATTCCCCAAACTTGGTAACTTTTAAGACTTGTGGACTTCAATTCCCAGAATCATCTGGCTGGAGAATTCTTAGAGTTGAAGTCCATAACTCTTAAAGTTGCCAAGTTTGGAGACTTCTGTTCTTGAGGATCTTCAAGGATAGCCCTACGTGTCAACTCTGAAGTGAATCTGGCTGGGGCCATTTGGAAGGTTTCAGGATTTGCCACAGTGTGAAGAAGAGATAGGGAGGAAGAACATAGTTAGATGAGGGTTTGTAGCCAAAACAAAATAGTTTCCTGTGGGAACCAAGGACATTCCAACAGGTGGCTGGAGAGAGGAGGAGCACAGTATCCAGGCAACCAGCCAGCACCTTGATTGGACAATGTGACTGATTGTTTTGGGAAAAGGGGAAACTATCACTTTTATAATCAGGTGAAAACTGCGGGAACTTTCGGAGTTGGTTTTCACCAGTTTGTGCCAATATGATCTCTCCAATAAAATTGTTCTTTGAAAAACTTGTCTGCCTCGGAGTTCTTCTTTCTATGGGAACCTTGACACTATGTACAGTGAGCTACAGTAGCCCAAACATGAGGTGACCAGAACCAAGTGATTATTATCCCCACTGTATCTGCCTAACAGCCAGGTTGTAGAAATGAAGGCCTCTTGAAGATGCTTTATGGACCAGGAATTTGCTATATAGTGTTCCGAGAGTGCACATTCTTGATACACGTGCCCTGGTTATGGAATGTCCTTAATCTGGAGAATGGACACCATATCTTTGGAGGCGTGGTTTTGTTTTGCTTTTTGGTCTCTTCAAGTCGATTTTCTTGGTAAGGTTTGAGAATTTGGATATGCCATTACCTTCCTAGGGCTGAAAGAGAGGGACCACCTCTTTGAAAGGATCACCCAGCTGGCTTTGCCCTTAAGGCAGGACTAGAACTCACAGTCTCCTGGTTTCTAGCCTGATCTTTTCATTGCTGCACCAGACTGACTCATGTTGCTCTTGGTACAGGCTGAAGATGGATCTCACCTCCACGGTTTTGATCAAGTGGAGCCTTGGACCTTTCTAGCCCAAGCTGGCTGTCAACTCATAAAATATTTCTATAGTTTTTCTATGGTCTTTTTAGAGTTGCCAACAGAAAGGGAAGGTGGAAAGTAGTTTGAAATAGCAGCGTGGCAACTTGGAAACTGAAAGTGCATTCCATAAATGTTTTCAAAGACAGTAACTAGGTGACTGAAGTTTCTGCCACACAAACTTCTAACTGGAGAGCATGATTGATGGCTCTTGGCTATGGATGTGTCTCATTGGAGAATACACCCAGGGGGTGAGGGGAAAACCAGGGTCAAGGGTGACCATGAATGATGTGTTTCAGAGTCGGCTGCACCCAGGCAGTGCCGGACATGTTAACTCCCAATAAATCCTTTGGAAGTTTTGGAAGTTTGGCTCGAGACTCATGATTTAATTGGGGTAACTGCCGGAATCCTGACACTAGCATTCATCCATGCTCTCTGGAATGACATTGTACCCAAGATCCATACAGTTACCACCCAACTGGCATTTTGGCTCTTCAACTAAGTTTTTCTAAGAGTGGTTGAAACTCCTTGGTAGTGTGGGTACATTTTTCCATTTTTTTCCTCTCCATTGTCTTTATTGTTACTGTATGTTGTTATTTCTCTTGTCTTTTTACTTTGTGCACCACCCAGAGTTGCTTGGAATCGGGAGGTGTACCAACTTATTAAATTATCATCATCGCCGTTATCATTGTAATCAGTCCACACCACAATTTTAAGTGATGTATGATGCTCATAGACTGTAATTCTAAAAGTTGGTTGCTAATGTATCTGCACCGAGGCTAGGGTTGGTGATTGAAAGCATTTTCATTTTATAAATGAAAGCAAAGTGGGAAACAGTTTGGACAATGTCTTTATTGATGCGTTTGGGCATCATTTTTATACATGTCTTCAGCCTCCATACTTCCCAATGCACGATGGAGTTCTAAAAGAGGGCTCTCCAATTTTGGCAACTTTAAGATTTGTGGACTTCAACTCCCAGAATTCCTCAGCCAGCTGAGGTATTCTAGGAGTTGAAGTCTATACATCTTAGACTTGCTAAAGGTTGGAGACCCCTGGTCTAAAACACCGAGATTGTTCAAACTTGGGCTGCTTTTAAGATGTGTTGATTTCAACTCCCAGAATTCCCCAGCCAGCATCATAAATTCTGGGATTCAATTTTTTTTTGACTACTGGTTCTATGGGCGTGGCAGGGGAAGGATACTGCAAAATCCCCATTCCCTCCCCACCCCACTAACCTGCTTTCCAGCTCTGTTCTCCTGTGCAGGGCAACCAAAGAAGACCCAGCCAATCAGCTGGGACTCAATGGGAGGCAGAGAAGAGATGGGGTTGGCGGGGCCAGTCAGAGGTGGGATATGCCGGTTCTCCGAACTACTCAAAATTTCTGCTACCATGCGCACAATCGTGCCTACCGTCCCTGTCCTTTTATCCCCATTTATTCATATCTATTTCCTGTATTCATACTTGTTATGTCTCACCTTTCTCCTTTCCAAGAAAGATGAAGAGTCCAAACTCCAACAAATACAGGCAGGCAAGAAGACTCGGTCCTTACAGAGTTAATTCCTTTATACAGATAATGTCCTTGGCATTCTAACAAACGCTGCCTGCCAAGTCCGAAAAGATAACCAGAAGAATTAATCACTAAAGCTTCCAACGCAGACCACAAGAAACAAAACACACCGAATCCTGAAAGAAAATTAAAACTTTGTCCCGTACAAGGTCTCCAGAGAAAACACACCCACTTTTATCCCCTGTGGGGTATGTCTCAATGACTCAGCTCACTCTCTGATCACCCTTCTTCCTACGACGCTGCCTAGGATCAAGCCAACATTCGTCTACTTGATTCCCTGTCAGAGGCTGCCCCGATATGCCCTCCTCCTCCTGATTAATCTCAGGCTGTTCCTCTCGGTTATCTGCTGAAACCTGAGGTATTATCAGGGAGGAAGGCATTGCCAGAGAGGAAGGTCCTGGGGAGGAAGGCATTCCCAATTCCTCCTCATCTTCCTCTTCCTCTTCCTCTAACAACGCAGGCTCAGGAATCAGAGCCACAACACATACTCATCTTTATTCTTATACCTATTATCTTGTAAGCGACTGACAAATCAAATCAAATGAATAAAATAAATAAAAAAAGATAAAAATCTTGGCCACTCAAGAATGGCTGGCTGGGGAATTCTGGCAGTTGGTCCATCCAACTTCAAGAGACCCAAGGTTGAGAAACACTGCTCTAGGGGATTGTCCAGACAGAGGAGTTAAGTCAAGATAGCA